CCGATTCTGAGCACTATATAAGTGATCCTTGAGAAGCCTCAATAACTCTTCTTGGTGGCTCAGTGTAGCATCAACGACTTCAACTCGGAAGAAACCCTTAAGATAGGGTGGAATCATTGTTGGAGCCTTACCATAAAGGGCTTGGAAAGGAGTCATTCCGATGGTTGAATGTGCAGCAGTATCGTAATGATACTCTGCCCATCCTAAATACAATGCCCACTTATGGTTCTCCTCATGGCAAAAAGCTCTCAAGTATTGCTCCAAATAACGATTGATGACCTCCGATTTCCCATCTGACTGTGGGTGGTAAGTTGTGCTGGTCCTTAACGTTGTACCACTGCATTTAAGAAGTTGTGACCAGAAATGACTCAAGAAGACTAAGTCTCTGTCAGAAACTATGGTTCTTGGGAACCCATATAGTTTGACCACCATGTCACAAAATAGAGAGGCCACCTTTGCAGCTGTATAGGGGGTGGCTAAGGCACCAAAGTGAGCAAATTTGGTTAAACGATCCACCACCACCAATATAACATTAAACCCCTTAGATGTTGGCACTCCTGTAATAAAATCCATGCTTAAGTCTTCGAATACCCCATCAGGTATAGGTAACGGTTGAAGCAAGCCTGGAGGGGGTGAAGTCGAAGTCTTAATCATTTGACAAGTAGAACATCTCTTGACAAATTCATGGACATCCTTCCTCTTACCCTTCCAATGAAAAGAGGCAGATAACCTCAAAAAGGTTCGAGCAATTCCAGCATGCCCTCCTATCAAAGTAGAGTGTGCTTCCTGCATAATAATTTCCTTCAATGCAGAATTTGTTCCCAGCAAATATCGATTTTTATGGTATAAGATACCATCTCTATCAATGATTTCTGGATCTATCAATTCATTTTGTTGTAACTTCAGGCGAATAGTAATTAATTCAGAATCAACTTTGTTCTCCTCTCGGATTTGATCAACTAATGAAAAAGTAGCTTCTGATATTGAATCCGCAACAACATTGGCTGTCCCTGGCTTGTATTCAATGGAGGAATCATAACCCATTAATTTGCAAGCATATTTTTGCTGTTCAACTGTTTATACAGTCTGAGTTAAAAGCTCCTTTAGACTCCTGTGATCTCTACGAATGGTAAATTTGGAGCCCAGCAAATAGTGACGCCACTTCTTAACTGCTTCAGTTAAGGCATACAACTCTCTAACATAAGCTGATGCTACCCTCATCTCGGTCCAAGCTTCTTGCTAAAGAAGGCAATAGGGTGATTCTGTTGTTGGAGAACAACCCCTATACCAACAGCTGAAGCATCAGTCTCTACTATAAAAGGCAAGGAGAAATTAGGGAGAGACAGTACAGGAGTTCTAGACATAACTTCCTTTAAAGCTTCAAATGCTTGGGCAGCTTCCTCAGTCCAATAGAAGGAATCCTTCTTCAACATATCAGTCAATGGTGATGCTAAGGCTGCATAATGTCTGACGAATCTTCAATAGTACCCTGGCAGGCCAATAAAACCTCTCAACTGCTTAATTGTCTTCGACTGTGGCCATTGTTTCATGGCAGCAATCTTCTTGGGATCATCTTTCACTCCCTCTCCAGAAACCAAATGGCCTAAATAATCCACTTCAGCCAATGCAAACCCACACTTACTAAGCTTCACCATATCCTGCAAACAAGTCAGAGTTATTACAAGATGATTATAATGTTCCTCCATAGAACTACGATAAATGAGGATATCATCAAAAACACTATAATAAACTTCCTAAGATATGGCCTAAACATATGGGTCATGGCTGCCTGGAAGGTTGAGGGGGCATTGGTTAACCCAAAGGGCATCACCAAGAACTCATAATGCCCCTCATGAGTCTTGAATACAGTCTTGGGAGTATCTTCTGGAACCAATAATATTTGATGGTAACCACTCCTCAAGTCTAGCTTGGTAAAAATCTTTGCTCCTTTGAGCTCATCTAGTAGCTCATCAATGGTTGGTATAGGAAAACGGTCTCTAATGGTAATGTTGTTCTAAGCCCTATAGTCAATACACATTTTCCACGAATTATCTTATTTTTTATCAAGCAAAACAGGTGAAGAAAATGGGCTCCTGCTCTCCTTAATTAATCCAGAAGCCAGTAATTTAGAGACTTGATTCTCTATTTCTTCCTTTTGATGATGACCATATCTGTATGGCTTGACATTAACTGGTCGTGCTCCGTCTACCAAATGAATGGCATGGTCATAGCTCCTGGGAGGTGGCAGTCCTCTTGGCAACTGAAAAACAGGTTGGAATTGCACCAAAATATTCCAAATAGCAATAGGAATTTTTTGTTTCAATTCCAACAGTTCTGGTAGAATGTCAGACACCTCCTTCTCTCCTCTTCTCCTTCTAAACTCAAACATTGTTGTTCAACAGAATCCACGGCTTTACAATTAGTCTCACCTTGTAAAATCACCCTTCCTTCCTTAGTCATAAATTCCATGGATAACTTAGCATAGTCATGTATAACCCTGCCAAGTTGGCTCAACCATGAAATGCTTAAAATAATTCCAAAGCCAGATAGCTCAATAATCCACAAAGCGACCACAAAAGAATACCCTTGAATAATCAATGGTACACTCAAACATTTCCTGTCACAAATGAGGAACTCCCCATTCCCCTAAAACACACGCATCCGAGGAACTTTCACAGTTGGCAAGCCAACATCATCAACTAGTTGCTTTTGGATGAAGTTATGGGAACTCCCTGAATCTACCAGAATAGGGATTAACTTACCTTTGAACTCAACCCGAAATTGAAGAGCTCTAGGATTTTTTCACCTTTCAGATAGTGTAAAGCAGCTTCATGTGTCACCTCTTGTGCCAATTCTGGTTTCCAAACAATTTGTTCTTCAGACTCATCACCAAAATCCTCCCAATCTCCCACCATTAGGAAATGCTGGGACTTACACTTATGGCGAGAATTCCACTTTTCATCACACGTATAGCATAGTCCTAACTCCCTCTTCTTTATTAATTCCTCATTACTCAACTTCTTGAATGGTACATTAGAAGGCAGGGCTGGAAAACACAGGCTTCTGATTTGGCATGATGGAGTTCAACGATTTTGGTTGCTCCACAGTATAAGAGCTCTTAGTGAAACTCTTCTTGCTCCCTGGAGATGTAAAAGAGGAACGTAGATCTACAAAATGGGCATCATATGTAATGGCCAGTTGCATTGCTTGATGGAGAGATGTAGGGGAATGTAGCTAAATTGCCCTTCATAAATCAGGTAGCAATCTTGATTCAAAAAAGCTCATAAGCACCTCATCAGAGAACTCGGTGACCTGATTAATGAGAGCCTCAAAATTCTTGATATAATCATTCAAATTCCCCTCCTGTGTGAGCTTTGAAAGCACTCCCCTCAAATATGTATATGCAGTACCTCCAAATCGCTGAGGGATTGCTAATTTCAGTTGCTCCCACAACTGGATTAAACCCCCATTGAATAGCCACTGGAACCAAGGCCCTGCTAAACCCTCCATTCTCATTCCAGCCAATCTGACCTTAAGTGCATCAGGAACTTGCTGCAACCCGAAATACAATTCCGTACGAAAATTCCAACTATTTGGATCAGTGCCATTGAAAACCGGCAACTCCATCTGAATTGATTTCATGAGTAAGCGAGGATCATCAGCACCAAATCGCGGCTGTGAAGTTCCTCCAGAATCAGTACCGGAAACAGAATGCACACCATGTGTTCGAACATTTGCCCCTACCACCGCTGCGTGAATCTCTTGTAATTGAGCATTAATACTGATGAACTGATTTTGATGTTCATTGAATCGTTGCTCAACCCTAGCTTGCATGCCTTCCAAGCTACGATCAATACGAATTTGGAACGCTCCAAACTCATCTGCCAAGTCTTGAACGTGCATGGTGAAATCTTGTTGAGCTCCAAAGAGATGAAAGCACCAATGATAGGATAGCGGATCCTATACTGATATCTCAAAGAAGAAAACAAGAAGAACGCGTGAAGATCAGAGAAAAACAATTGGAAAAAAGTTCTGTATATTCAAGTGTGTTTCCCATTGACACCTATCGTGCATATATGCCGCGTTTTCTAACAATACTCTAACAGAATTGACAACAAGACACGTAAGACACCATATAATGACTCACACATCAGTCCAACTAATAACAACAGACACTCCAAGTGATGGCCTAATAGCTAATGACAGTATTGCAATTCTTGGGCTGACTACACAACATAGTCTTTGGCCTAAGAAAGGGCTCCAGCTCTTCTCTTCATCTTGGGCCCATCATTCATAACATCCTCCTTCATCAAATTGGCCAATGAGGACCTTTCTTACTTCAACCAACTCATCATATAGCCAAGATTTCCTAGAACCTAGTTTGTTTTCCTAGTCCTTCATAGATTTCGGCTAATAAGAGACAAACCAAGGGTCACTTGCGTACACAAACTAACTAAGGGTAAGAGAAAATGATGCCTAGGTTAGTCCTAAGCTCTAGGCTTAGCTTGCGAACTCAACTATCGTATATCTCAGTCATTACTTAAGTTAATCTAACATTGATTATTCTAACTAGGGTCAAATCTAATAAACTATGGTTCCAACTTTTAGCTCAAAGACTAACTAAACCTCCATTATACCTTAGTTAAGGCTTCCCATAATGGGCTTATTGGGCTACGCGGCCTAAGGCTCTTGGGTCAATCTTGTTGGTTTTGAGCTAATCCTACTAAAGGCTTTCATTGTTTTTGGGCCCAATTCTCCTCCATGGTCCAATGACCTACTCTTTAATGGTATTTATTCCTTTTGTAGGCTTTTTATGATACTTTCTTAATCGTTCCTATAAATTTTTAGGATGTTACAATGACATATTGCATGTGATTCTCTTGTAAGCAATTGGTCTTGAAAGAATTTTCCATTATGCACAATAATGAGAGCGAAAAAAAATAAGAGTCTGATTCTTTAGTTATCTGAACATTGTTTTCTTTTTACTGTATCTGTCTTAGGCATAATTTATCGGGACTTAAAGCCTGAAAATATCTTACTTCAGAAGGATGGCCATGTTGTATTAACTGATTTTGACCTCTCATTTATGACATATTGTAAACCCCAGGTATGTATCCTTATTCCTGTATAAACACGTTCAATTTATATAAATTATTGGAAATTCTGAACCCATAAGAAATCAAATGGCGTTCCTGGCACACACACTTTTTATATTTTCAGTGATCTAGTTTGGTAGAAAATGTATTACTCAGGTCTTCAAATATCTCTCTCTCTCTCTCTCCTTTTTGAAAAAAAAAAAAAAAAATTCTGATTTTTTTCTTTAAAAGAATTTATTTTGATTATTCGTTACTTCTTTAAGAGAGTTACAAGGTATCAAAACCCAACTGCTCTTCTCATTACCACTTGAGCTAAGTCTCATGGTATTTTGGGTTTGTCTAGATGCTCTTCTTTTGTACCATATCCTTGTAGTCTTTTACAGGAAATGTCAAGTCTTTTTGTTTTCAATCTCAATCAATTTGATTTTAGTAACAGCACTTTTGTTAACTCTTACTACATAAAACAAAATGTATTGCCATGTATGTTCCATAGCTTGAGAAAATTTTCTCTATTTTCCTATACATCGTCATTATGGGACTTGCATCTTAGAATTAGTAAAGGAACTTATATTCTAGGGTTGTCTTTCTTCTTTATAATTATCAGATGCTTAAATTGGAAGTTATTCCTGCAGGTTGTGAAGCACTCAGTACCTACTAATAGAAGAAGATCACGAAGTCAACCACCACCGATATTTGTTGCAGAGCCGGTTACACAATCAAACTCTTTTGTTGGAACTGAAGAATACATTGCCCCTGTATGGTGAATTTCAATTCTGCTTCATACTATATAAGTAAACGACAAAGATCACCCTTAAGGTTTAATGTGTAAATCTCCCCCGTTTCTAAAGTTACATTGACATCCCTCTGTTTTAAATTTAAAATAGGTTTGCCATGTTAAAATTGAAAATGTGAAATGAAAGAGGGAGAAAGAAACAATTGTAAGTTGAATACCTAAGTGTTATAACCCCTTATGTTTGTTTCGAAAATAGTGGGCTATGTGCAGCTTGTAGTAGAACAGTATAACTATCTACAATAAATGAAGTAATTGTACGCTAATGCAATCTATTTCAATGCATCCCCTTAAGTTGAAGCCTATAAATCATGTGCATTAAGCTTATTATTAATGTAGCTATCTGGACAACTTTTCAAAAACTGTATTATTATATATTAAGGGTATACATTGTCTAGGCTTATTTTATATACAATAGTCAAACAAATCATGAAGTTAGTGTAATCAGAGTAGTTAGGAATTAGGATATATGAAAAATATCTCATAATATCTTGATTATATCTTAAAATAAGTATCTTAGATGATCTATTTTATAATCTAATTGAAAGGTACAGGACTTGAGTCCCACATTGGTTATATGGATGACTAATTTGGGGTTTATATGGATTTTGAGCTCTCCTACCTCATGGACTAGCTTTTGGAGTAAGGTTCTTCCAAAGTTCATATCAATTGATATCAGAGCCTTCTACTATATCTCCCAAAGTTCATATCAATTTATATTTGCCCAGGGCTAGTAAAAGACTAGTGCAAAACTAGCCTGCAAAGTGTGGTGGAATGTTACGATCTAATTGTAAGGTATGGGACTTGAGTCCCATATTGGTTATATGGGTGACTAATATAAGGTTTATATGGATTTTGGACTCTCCTACCTCATGGGATAGCTATTGAGGAAAGGCTCTCCCAAGATTCATATTAATCTATTAGGAATAGTGTCCTTATCTCTTTATACTTCATGATTTATTTCCTCATTTATTAATTAGGATATGGAGTTTAATATTAGGATAATGGATCAGTTTTCGTAGTTTGTATCATATCATAACATATCAAATCAATATAAATTTTATATTATTCAGTCTTTTATCTATTTTCTTCCTTTCGCGCTTAAGTCCCTATAATTTCAGCATAGTATAGGTGGGTTTTGCATAGTTCATGGTTCATCCTCAGGGCTCATAAGTAAGTGGGCATGTAGAGATGTACTAAAGAGAAAATAGAGATCTTTGTAACTTTGAAACTAGTTGGCATTGATTTCATATTAATTTTTATTCAAATAAGGGAGGTACATCACTATAATTTCATCAAACATGAGGGCATATTAATGTAATCTACTTAAAAGCATAATGCCCACAAAAAAATTATTTTATTATTTTTGTTGTTATCAGTATCGTTATCATCTTTCAAGGTTTAAAGGTACTTTATATCAGGAAATTATAACCGGAGCTGGGCATACTAGTGCTATAGATTGGTGGACCCTCGGTAAGCACTTCCATCCTTGTGTTTGAATCCGAATAATGGGGCATGCCTTATTTTTTGTTCGTTTAAGTATCCAAATGAATTTCTGTACCATGCTTTCTGGTTATATCATTCAAATTTATGAGGGGATAAATAGCTATTGTTGAGATCATAGGGATTTAGGTACAGAGAAAGAGAAACGAGTACCAAGAATAATAAAATTAATGATGTAATATAAACTGCAAAGTACTAATCTCTATTTATACTAATTCTATCCTAATTAAACTAGGAAACAAATCATAAAACATAACTTAGTTAAGGCTTTCAGTGATGGCTGATGATGACGGTGAGGCAGGAGACTGCTGAAAAGATGACACAACAGTGATTCGACAGCTAACTGAAGTGGAAAACACGTTTGCCGGAGGGAGAAAGGCATTGGTGGGCAATAGGTCCACTGGATAAACACGAGTACATGACTGAGGGTTGCCTCTCGGGCTATGATACCATGTTGAGAGAGAGAAAAGAGAGACGTGTGCTGAAATCTATGTGCTTGAACTATGCAACGGAAAATGAATCATATAGTCAAATAGTAAGAAATATGAATATCACAATGTAATTACATGATTTGGTTTTCTAATACAATGAATCTAAGCACTATTTACATAGTTTCCAACAATAACCAAATGATTACTTCTTGACACAATTTGAAGAATATACCTTATTCATGCTTCCTGCATATATTTTGCATTAGGGGGCATGTTAAAGATGAAAACCACTCCTATCATCCCTCTAACAACTTATAGGTTCAATTGGTTCTTAACTTAGTACCATAGCCTCTTTCATCAAATGCCCACATTCTTTTAATTAAATATTATTCATCACAAGGTTCGAGTGGGCCAATACAGGTTCACTTTGCAAACCTGAAGGCCTTTCGTTTTGTGGTGTATAGGAGATATAAAGTCATTTCTGGGCTTGCACATGAAAGTTAATGGTTTCCTCCTTTTTGTTAGATTTATCTTGTCATTCCCTCGTCTTGGTTGGATTCCTTATCCTCTTTTATTAAGTTAATGTTTAATTTTGATGTCTTGATGCCTTATTTTAATATTCACAACTTTATTTTTCATGTTCTGAATATAGGTATCTTGTTGTATGAGATGCTCTACGGTCGTACACCATTTAGAGGAAAGAATAGACAGAAGACATTTTCCAACATCTTACACAAGGATCTTACCTTTCCAAGCAGCATCCCGGTAAACAAAAAAAATGATGGATATTACTAGTTGAAAATTATGGGACGTTTTCTTAAGGTGGTACCTATTTAAGAAGTTTTTGCATCAAATACATGCAATTCCCAACTTCAAATAATGGGTAGTAAAATACATATAGAAAAGCATAAGCACGCAAAAATATAGGGATTTGCTTTCAAATTTCTGTTTCGTGGAAAATAATATATTTCATTGATATCCATATACATATAAACTATACCACCTAAAAAGATGTGTAAATGCACTGTTCTGATCATGCATCAACTACTGCAATACATTGCCTAATAAATGAATTACATATATAAATTCTTACAGTTACCTACTGTTCTGATCATGCGTCAATTTTCAGGCTAGTCTTGCAGCTAGGCAATTGATTAATGCACTATTGCAAAGAGACCCTGCCAGTCGTCTAGGTTCAATTACTGGTGCCAATGAAATCAAACAACATCCCTTTTTCCGCGGAATCAATTGGCCTTTAATCCGCAACATGGTAGTGTCCTTGTGATTTCTTTTTTAGAGTTAGTGATTAGAAACATATTTACTCTTTTCAAAGAAGTCCTCTCAAAGCCAATTTAGACGTGTTTCAACCAGTAAAATTTAACAGTTGTTTCACCCCTCATCCTAAACTTTTTGTGCCAAAAATAAAGAAAAACTACCTCTCAATTTATTTTCAAATTATTATTTCAGTGACCACTTTGAGTTGTCTATTTCGTGCAGAGTCCACCCCCATTAGATGTTCCTCTTCAATTGATAGGAAAAGATTCAATGGCAAAGGATTTGAAGTGGGAAGATGATGGGGTGCTCGTTAGCTCGATTGATATGGATATTTTTTGAAGATTAACACAAGGTGGGCGGACACAGGAATTTGGGTTTTGGGTTGCGAAAATAAAATATACTATATTATAAATAAAAGTATTTGAAATATACAATACAGACCTAGTTTTAAAGAAATTTATTATAGAAATTAAGATCACTTCACTTGACTCTTATTCTATGTGTTTTTATATTGTTAAACTCATCTATAATTGAATCTGTGCTAAAACTCAAAACAATTTCCTTTTCAATGTATGTAATTAAAGAATCATCAAGAAAGAAATTGGTCTTCCATTCTATTTCGAAGTTTGTTCTTGATTATATTTATGATTGAGAAAGTAGAAGCTTAAAGAGTGAGGACAAGTCTAATCAATCTACCTAGTTCACCTTTATAACATAGCTAAATAATTTTGACAAATATATTACTCATTTTGTATAAATAACCATTTTATTTAGAAAAATATGAATGAATATGGAATACATTAATATTATAGTTTGTTAAGACTCTAGGCACTTAACAAATTAAATAATATTACGTTTCTCTACCATTTTCTCTTCTTTTTTCCTATCTCTTCGTCTTCCTCATTCAATAGAGCCTGTCTAGACTAAAGTATATTTCATAGACTAGTTCGCCATATTCAAAAGTAGTAAACCTGTGTGGCTTTTGGTTTTGGATAAGGTCACAACTGAATCTTTTCCTTTTAGCAAAATTATTAACCAAAGCTTTCTCCATATATCTCTCTTCTTTTTTGGATAATACCATATATCTCTTTATCTGTCACAATTTTTTCTTTCAAATTTTAGAGGGGGCGGTGGCCCACCCTAGCATTATGTAGATCCGCCCCTGAACACAAGTACAATTAATATGATATTCAACAATCACTGTATCTGAGACATTCAAGTGCAATAGCTTTTTCTGTTGATTTGGTTTTAGTCAATTGTCATGTGATTTGGCAATAGACAACTTCGAACCAAATCTAAATTCAGTAAGATCAGCATAAAATATCAAGTACATTGAATAAAGCTAGAGATGTTTGCTTTTAGGGGCCGTTTGGTTCAAGCTTTCTGTGAATTTTCCCAGCCATCCATATTTGGTATTATGACTTGTCTTCGTTTGGTAGAAGAAAACCAAAAATATACCCATGAAACTTGGTTCCCCAGCCATCGACAAACACATGCAAAAAAGCAAGATATTCAATGTGCGATTTAACCACTTAGAACATGGTATTTCCATAAAACCTGCTAAATGAAACCAAGTGGATGAAAATTGTGACAAAACTACCCCTCTTACCAATGAGCAAAGTAACCCTCAAACAACGCCAACATCTGTGAGAAATATCAATTTGTGGGTTGCAAACCACATCACTCTTCGGCGACAGAGTTTGCAAAAATCTATATATAGACCTTGATTCCATCATTGAGTTCATGATAAATATTTTCATGATAATGTGGGTACTGGTGGGTCTGCAGTGCCAAGTGGTGGTAAGGCAGAGTCTAGTAAGAAAGCTGCATTGGCTGTTTCAGGATGAGGGGTGCAGGAAACTTGGATTTGAAAGTGGAGTTCGGTAATAAGGTGGAGGAGCCTTCCCGCGGGGTGCGTGACCGAGAAGGGAACACAACTAGAAATGCGGAGGATAATATTGAACATTATGTTGGACACGCTTCAATGACGAGCATCACCTAATTTCACATTCTTTGAGATGAAGTTCAATTCATCAATGGTGTCCATGACACTTGACACTTGTCTCCCATTTTCAAGTATAGGGCTTGATCTTTTCATGTTGGAGTAGCTGATCCCCTTCACCTTTTCTGCCTTCAACATCCCTTGAAACTTTGTTGGTCCTTATTGAGTTGTAGAGGAAGATTGAAGAAGAAGCAGAGTGTGTTCTAGATATGGAGACGTTGCTTCTGCATATGTTGAAGACACGGGATTGTGCTTTGTAACATTAAAAAATTAAATCAAAGGTTATTTTGTAATTAATACCAATATTCCCATCAATATTTTACTTTTAACCAAACATAGACTCAGATAATTTACTCTAATTTCCCCCGTAATATTTTGGTCAACCAAACAACTTTTTTTAAATTTTCCTACTAAACTCACTTTCCAACCATTTCCCTATCAATTACATTTTTCTAATATTCAAAAAATTTCTCTTCAACAAAACGCCCCCTTAGAAACATGCTTCCTAGCTATGCTCAATGACGAAACATCAGTAATATAGGTTTGGAGGATGCCTGAAAAATATCATATATATTACTAGTTATCTAGTTTTCTATATATATATATATATATATATATATATATATATATATATATATATATATTGAAAATGCATATCTATAGAAGGGAAAAGGGGGGAAATATGAGAATTGGAGGAAGAAAGATAGAGGGGGCTTTTTCCAATGAGCAGTCTCTTGCAAAGAGACATGAGTCTTGGGTGGAAGGTGAAGCGAGCTTTAAAGAGGTCTTCATGAAGCATAATGGGGACTGGGGATCAGAGGAGGAAGAAGAGTTTGATGAGGAGACGAGATGCCATTAAATGAAAGCAATCCTCGTAAGGATGATCTGTCCCAAACGATGGAAGAGGTAACTTTAGAAGTTCGAGAGGATGGCAAGACAAAGGTGCAGTGTGGAACGAGAAAGATCAAGTCAGTAGAGGATTAATCCTAATAAAGGTAAAGTTGTTGGTTCTCAGCGTGGAACGAGAAAGAAGGTTTTGGTCACATGTCGCAGGTGCATGCTCAGCCTACAACATTCCATTATTTAATTTTATGTCTGTCCTTTTTCAGAACTGTACGGGTGCGACTAAACCCAACCTTGGCCAAACTCTAAAGATGTTGATGGAAAAACATGATAATGTTTTGGTATTTTTAATGGAAACACGTACAGGTAGTAATAACAATAGGAAGATTATGAGAAAACTTAAGTTTAATAAAGCTTGTTTTGAGGAAGCTGTTGGTTTCTCTGGTGGAATATGGGCCATGTGGAATTCTAGTCGTGTTAAGGTGCAACTTATAACATAATCAAATCAGTTCCTGCATTTAAAGGTTGGGATTGATGGGTTCGCTGAATTTTTTTGCACAACCATTTATTTACACAAGTCCACGGGAAGATGAGTGTCATGAGATGTGGGATTCCGTTAGCCAAATTAGTCAGTCTGTCAATGGTCCATGGATCATGGCAGGAGATTTTAATGACATTAAAAATGGTGGAGAGAAAATAGGAGGTTCTCAACCGGATAAAGCCATATGTGATAGGTTTGATAATTTATTGAATAACTGTCATGTGGAGGATGTGAGGTGCTTTGGTCCCAAGTTCACTTTGCAAGGCCCTAAGTTGAACTAAGGGTGTAAATGGGCTCAACTAGCCCGACCCGGCCTACATTAAGCCCGGCCTAGCCCGACCTTTAAGAAAAATAGAGTAGGCTTAGGCTTATAAAAAAGTTTTTATAACAAATAGGCCATAGGCCAATTTTGTCAAGCCCGGCCTACAGCCTTGTAGGCTGGCCTATTTAATTTATTAAAATAAAATAATAAAATAATATTTATTTTATGTGGCAAAGTACCAATACCAACCCTAATTTTTATGTGCACCGCCGCTTCTCACTCTCGGCTTCGTCTTTTACATGTTGTTGCAGCTTAATACCATGGAGCAATGGGTACCTTTCTGGATTATGATGTTACTGATGAAGATCTTTCAATAATACTCTTCTTTCCCTTGTCTTGATGGTGGTTTAAAGATTTTTAGATGAATGACATTCTCTTGTAGACTTTATTTCAGCATCCAGTAATTGTATTTTTCTTATTTTCCCCATTTCTTTGACTCTATTCCTCTATGATATACATTCTAGAGCTGGGGTATTATGTTAACTCTTTCTTGTTTGTCATTTTTTTCTTATGAGAAGTACTAGTGCATGCATGAGTAGAACTTTCTTTGCTCTGCACAATTATTTTTTTTGCTTAGTATCTACAGTGGTAGGCCTACAAGGCCTGTAGGCCATGTCAGACTTTCTTATTTTTAAAAATGGGCCGGGCTTGACTTACAAATAAAGCCTTTAATAGGCCAGTAGGCTAGATAGGCTGAATTTTTTTTTACGTAGGCTTGGGCCAGGAAGGCCAAAGCCCAGCCCAGCCCAGCCCATTCACACCCCTAAGTGGAACCACTCGAATAGAGTTTACAAAAAACTCGATAGGGTTTGTACTAATTTAAATTGGAGACTATGTTTCAAGACTCTAAGGTACGTGTGCTTCCTAGGTTGTTATCAGATCATAAGCCTCTTTTATTGAAACTCTCTTATATGGAACCAATGCAGAACATAAAGATTCTAGGATTTTGATGATAACAAACAAAGCATGGAAGGAAAGCTTCAAGTTGCAACAATAAAAAAAAAAAAAAACTAACACTCATGAAGTCCTTCAAGATTCAAGCTTCAAGAGAAGAATCTAAGTCCAAGAAATCTCAAGTAATATACTTTAGGACTTAGAATTAATTGTGAGGGTAATTGAGTTCTTGCATGAATAATCTCAAACATATTTCTGTTGAAATACATGCATTAAATTATCATTTGATTACACAAAGAATTTATAGCATCACGTATTTATAAAAACATGTTTTCAACATTCAATCAAGCAATTAAACATGTTTTGCTTATAAACGT